AGAAATACAAGAGAGAGAGAGAGAGAGAGAGAGAGAGAGAGAGAGACACACAAACACCTTTTCCAGCTTCCACTTACATTTCAGAGCCTGGATCAGAGCCTTGCCGTCTTTGATCAGCTCCTTGATGAACTTGTTGGTCTTGTCCAGCTCCAGTTCGTGGGACTTGAGTCTCTCCCTGAACTGCGGGCTGTCCAAGTAGCAGTCACTGAACTCCAGAGCAGGTAGTCCCATCTTCTTTTCCTCCACCACCACCACCACTAACACCACCACCACCGGCCTCGACACACACAACCTGGACGACCCGGCAAAAAAGAAGAAGCTCCGAACAGAGGAAGAGGATGAGGAGGGAGGCAAACCTGGAGTACTGCTGCTGCTGGAAATGATGGAAAACCCAATTACAACATGTAAACAACGGGGCGGAGATGTGTGTCCGAGAGAAAATGCCAACCTACATAACCTTGCTTTTTTTTTCTTTAGTTAAGGTAAACACTCAAGTTGACACCACCAAGAGTCCTCCTGTGTCTTTACAGAATGGCAGCAACTGCCGCAGTCCGACACGGCATCCAATTCAATGAAATTATTTTGTAAAAAAAAAAATTTAAAAAAGTCACAGCAGAATAAGTGTTGTGGTGGTCGGTTAAAAGAAAACACTTGCTCAGGTAAACCGGTGCTGCATTCCTCTCGACCAAGTCATTGTGGACCGGACAGAGTCAGACCAGGGGCGAGGAGGGAGGGAGGGAGGCAGCAAAAAACAAAACTAGCCTCGTAAATGCGGTGTCTTCCCTGGGCGGTTTTAAACGCACTGCTTTCCCCCAGACCCGCTCAGCTCGGCGCTGCAGACCGTCGGCAACCTACCAGTGCGCGGATAATCCCCCGATTGACGTCTCTCTCGGCCAATCAGGTGGCCAGGGGCTGGAGGAGCACATAGACAGGAGCAGGCCAGTCTTGGGGGCGGGTGTGCGGTGAGGTACTCCAAAACAGAGATGAAGAAAAAAAGAGAAGAGGGCTCACTCTGATCTTGTTTGTAGAAACGATGTTGCTGGAAAGTACATTTACTCAAATACTGTACTAAAGGGCAATTTTGAGGCATTCTGCTACTTTTTTACTCCAAATTTGATATCCTTACTTACAGTGTATATTTATATTAATGATACAAAATAAAAATAAAAACTATTATCATAGGTTAATATGCCAAGCGGTAGCTTATATGAAGTAGTTAAAATTACTTTAATAACTTTTCCAGTTGCAACATTAAAGCAAGGTACACATTAATGTATAATTGTAATCCATATTGGGCCATTGTGCATAAAGAGTAGGCCCACTTCTATATTTTGAGTAGGCCTATTTTCAGTATATTTGAGCATTGAGTACACACTGGAGACAGACAGTAAAACTATACAAAAAAAACAAGACTTTACAGCATGCTAACATGCTTACAGTTACAACAAAACACGCTGATGTTAAGAAGGTCATATTAGCCTGCTAGCATTTGGCATTTTACTACTTAGCACTAAAACTCATAGTACCCTACCGCTGAGGTTGACAGAAATGTCACTTGTTTGTGGTATTTGGTCATGAACTAGATTGGACAAATTTAAATTCTGACCTAAAGATGCGAGATTTCATGGAAAGTCATGCAATCAACAAAGTCATTGGAATTTCTCCTATACTGACCTTAAATAGGTGCAAATTCACAGCAATTTATAAGATATTCAAAACCCAAAATATAAATCTCATAGTGGTACAACAGGAAAAATCAAAGGGATTCATCCTCTAGGGACCATGCATTTCTGTAAAAAAAAAAAAAAGATTTATGGCAATCCAATAGCTGTTAGGATATTTAGTTGCAAGCATGACTGAAGACCATTATGTGATATGTTGCAATACATATATGCATAATAGATCTCTAGGCCACAATTTTGTGCAAATTTATTAGACAACACATCAGATAATTCACAGTTTACAGCTCTCAGAAATTCCCTGAATATATTGTACATAATACTGGTGCATTCAGGTGTTCCTAATGAGTTTGTCAATTCAGGAAATATGACCAATAATATAAACAACAGGTGAATGGTGGTCATCCGCTTTCACTGGTACATGCACCACACGTCAGTGTAGCTAACATACCCAGTTAAAGAATTTAATGTCATTTTCATGAATTTAAATAATCTTATAACTAAGGTGAAACAATTATTAACATTTTAAGATGGGAATCCCCATTCAGTAGTTGAACAGTTAAAAAGTGACTCAATGTCAGTGTGTAGGGGCAAATATCTGTTGAGTATTACATCTTCCAGAGCATAGACAATCTTTGCATGCAGGGGGCTGGGAGCATGGATGGCTGCCTGGGAGGCTGGTTGGTGGGAGGAGACGCTGATGTCATTTCAGCCAGAGCAGGGAATTTCTGTAGAGAGGTATCTGCTCTGGATTACAGCCTCCATCATTCTCTGGCGCCCTCTGTTGGCACAATGCTGCGACGCAACAGATATTTATTTATTTATTTATATTTATAAGATATTTCTTCTCACATCTTTTACTCTAAAATTATTGTGGCTCATATTCTAATTGAGGAAAAAAAACACTATTTGACTTGTGATGGGAGAAGAAAGCCACAAAAAACATATTTTTCCCCTAATTTCTCCAAGAACACAAACCTGTTATTCAGACAAATATCCTGAAAGCCTACTGAATCTGCTTTACACTAATTTATATTATATTGACTGTATATTGTAGTCACTGCCAATGTTTCTATACCATAAAAATGACTATTATTTTTGAACATGTCATGCATGCCGGTGGCACAGTTTATGTGTGTGGTTAATGTGTGAAAACAGCTCAGATTTAGGCGCATTACTTCCTCTGCCAAAACAGAGCACAGCGTCTGGTCGCTTGCTCATTTCTCCATCTGTCACAACGTGGTGTACAGAGATAGCCTCTTACAGGAAGTCATAGCCTGTTGTTTGATTATGAAGGCTTAGATGCAGGAGACTAGTTTAAGAACCAGAATTAACCAGTTTAGTCAGACACATTGCAGATGCATGCAGACTGCTGCATGATCTGTCAGCTTTAAGGCTGGCTCGGATTGTGAATGAAAACAACCGTTAAAAAGTGATGATTGGTCTTACAGAATCACTGATTAAATTCAAACAATGTAATCAAATGATATGATGCACTTATAAGAACACAGGTTGTCCTTTGGCATGCTGAAATAACATAACTTGTTGTAACTTGTGTCTGGAAAAGATGCTCTTTTCCCCTATTTTTCTTAAGCCATGTTTTCTCAAAATTCAAATCAGTTTTACGTCAACATACATAGCCATCATACACTATTAGCCCCTGTATGAGCTCATGTACTGTGCAGTGCAATGTACAGCACTGACTTTTATGTACAGATTAAAATATAGTTTTAGCAGTTTTCTTTAAATGATGTTGACCTCAGATTTCTCTGTGGAGAGGGGGTTCAGTAAACAAAAGAATTTCCATTCACACTAGTATCAGTAAATGTATTTAAAGGTGGTGGCTGGCAGTACCAGTACTCAGATGCTTTATGGCCATCAAGATAATGTTAATTAGATTTTTTTTCTTGTCCCTCTCTAATTTCATCCTTAGCATCAACCTCTCCCACAGAAAGCTTCCTGTTGAGAAAACAGTAACGTAATTATTGACTCGATGGCTAAAAATATGTTTATGCAATGTTTCCATTTCCTCTTTATAAGCATGAAACAAATTTCCGCTGATAAGCTGTGTTCTTCTGCCCACAACAATATCCTCCCTAATTTTCAACTTAGATCACCTTAAGGTTTGAAAAAAAAACCACATTGTAGAACAATCTCACATTTACTGTAATATAGCTAACTATATTCTATGTTTGTTCCAGTGTACTATCAAAGGTATTTATAAATCTATCACTACATCAAATTAGGAAACATGGATACATATTTGATCATTTTGTACACATTTACTTGGAATTCAATCCAATATTTACCTTGGAAACCTTGAGAATCTCACTAGAATTTAAAATACAGATCTACAGCTTTAAAGATATAATATGTAACATTTCTGCATTAAAATATCTATACATACTAGACCTATGTAAGATATTTTGTCAATTTGTGTACTTACATTATCCCAAATGTTTCCAACAATGTTCAAACCCAGAGGAATCAGTAGTTTTACTTAGGTAACGATTCCCTTCACTGGTCACCTGTCAATGACGTCATATCTATACATTTTAACCAGATGAGGATTTTAGTCATTATACATCATAAGTTATCAGAGGAGCAAGCTGAGCTAACATCAACAGCAGCTTGGCTTGCTGCATCAGATTTTTAAGGTGGAACTGCTTTATTCGGGCACAATGTGTGCAGTACAGGATGTGCAGCACACAGAAAACAATTGGCAGGTTTGTAGAGGTAAACCACACACACATATTCTCTATTGGTTGAGGTTTGTTACTTTGCTGGTCAACGTTTACCAAGTCCATGCAAGGTAGAGATGCAGATTTGCTTTGCCATTGGATGTAACTGTTTTATTTGCCACTTCGCTCACATAGAACTGAAGTGAACGGGAGACAATATTCACTAATGTTGATTTTGTGTATGTCTGACTGTGACCTTGTGACAGAGTGTTTGAGAGACGAAGTTAGACCAGTGGTCAGTCGAGTGTTGAAGTGTCCTAATTTGCCGTTGCTCTTTCAAAATGAATAGGCTGGCTGTTGGTATCCAAAGCCCATTAGTCTATGCAGGTCAACAAGCTGATTTTTCTCACATAGTAGAGCGTGCACCCTGGTGGCTACGAAACATGAAAAAATTGGCAACGTCTCTATCTAGAGCAAGTGTTTGGTTTGTCCCTTCTGGGCTACTGTCATTGCGGTTTAACATGGCGGACCCCATGGAAGGTGACCTGCTGCACCTGTAGATATATACACCTCATTATAAGGTAACAGAAACAACAATTCCTATATTGTATTATACACTGTATTATACACTAATGAAAACTACATTTCTGCCAAAACAGCTTCCTAAATGTTACACACTGGACCTTTAACATTGGCACTTAAAGGAAGCGGGCAGCTTGTCAAGGTGCTTTGGGGTGCTTTCACCTCTAAACAGCACTCCATGCACAAAGAGGCATGAAAAAGCACACAGTTGAAGGACTAGTGTGTAATTTAGTGGCACCTAGTGGTAAAGTTCCAGATTGCAAATAACTGAACACTGCTGGTATCTTCAGCCAGTGTTTGGTTTGTCCTCTCGGGTTACTGCAGAAACATGGTGGACTCAACACTCAGCATCTGTAGATAAAAAAACGACTCATTCTGAGGTAATGAAAACAAAACGATTCCTATATTCAGGTGATTGTAGACTAATGAAAACATACCTATGAATATAATATTCCATTTCTGCCAATAATCTTCCTAAATGTTACACACTGGACTTTAAAGAGAGATATTTCCCTTCTGGAGTGGTGGAAAGCAAAACGAGCTAAAAGGAGAGTTGATCTTTGACTTAAATTCTCCAGGTGGATCCAAACACAACTCCACATGAATCCTAATGTTGCTACACCCCACACATACTGGATCATTTTTCATAAGGTGATGCTATGTCAAACACAGAAAAATAAAAAAAAACTGGGTTTAAACATTACTGTAAACATTACAAAATGATCTGTTTTCCTTTTACCATTATTAGTGAGTGGTGTCTCACACGTCCCTAACAATAGGTTAAAAGGAAACAGATCATTTTAACATATTGTGCTTCAATGAAACTTTAGCCAACTAAAGTGTGATTAGAATGTACACCGTTTACTTACAGTATGGCAGAAAATAGACATATTTCTGCCATCTCCTGTTAAATAGAGGTAAAGCAGCTTTAAAAAAAAAAGCCTAGGAAGCTCAGACTGAACTGAGAGAAGTAGGTCAGACGCTTCACTTTTTGGCAGTGTAATCCTTCTTTTTTTGCTGCACATTCTCTGCAAGTCTTATATCTCACGATCATAAACTTAGAAAGGCAGTTTTTCTTTCAGGGATGAAATTATGGAGAGAAGAGCTTGAAGGTATCCATTAGATAAGAGACAGAGATGAGGCCAAACTGCTGTGAATAATTCACCCAGCCTGCACACTACTGCTGTTTATTGCCATGCAAGTGCAAGACAAATAGTGTGCCAAATATAATACTGAGATGTTCTTCAAAGTAATTTCGCCGTTTCAGAAATATCAACACCCCACAGACATATTCAAAAATATATATTTTTCATCTCACTGCAGTTCCCTTGATAAGTTATCACAACATAGATTAAATTCTTTTGGCGAGTCCTGAAACATTTGTTCACTCTGTTAATCTGAGAGGTGGAGTGACACACAAGATTTTCATCTGAAATAACCATCTTCCCCTGAACTCATGCCTTTATTACTGTACTTCTTATCTATTAAAGACATTTACTGTACTTATTATCAAGTGTATTTTTATTTTTGATAAGTTTACATATTTTAACTTTGCAGCAGTGTGAAGCAAGTCCTGTGATCCTGTAATGTGACCTGGCTGAGGCATTATGTAAGATTAATTCTGGGAACTGAAGTCACCTCCTTTGTGGCTTTTAAAATGTTTACATAGTGTGCTCACCGTGTCTCCAGGAGGACACCATATAAGAATGTATCAGCGCTCAGCCAGGACAGGCAGCCATGCTCATTTCCAGCTTTGGATCCCACGACCAGGATACTTGCGTCACTCTCTCTCTTCTCTCTTCTCTCTCTCTCTCTCTCTCATACCCTGATAATTTTAGTCCTGACGTTTGCCTGTTAAAATGAGCCCTGTGACGTTTTTAGAAGGGTGGTGAGGTGAGGAGGGGGGTGGTAGATAGGGTACAAATACAGACATACACACTGAAGTCTTTAAAGTCCAGCCATTTCTCTGGTGGAGAAACGAGGAAGAAAGTTTTGGCACGCTGAAACAGTAAAAAAAAAAAAAAAGAGGAAAAGAGGAGGACATGCTGGCTCATCAGAGGCACTGCCACTTTCTCACAGGTAAGTGACTGATTCACTAGATTAGAGGGAGCTTTGCCTGTTGTTGTGTGGGAATGCAGTTGGCTAGTAATCACGTGTGCTGATTCACTGACAAATCTTTGATAACAGGAGAGAAAGTTGATACTGATCTGTACTCATTTAGGTGGTCTGGCTTGTGTGCATATGTATTGTATGTTTTTGTGATAGCCTCATGACTTCTAATGAGAAATCTATGAATCAACAATATTTTATTCCCAGCAGAACTTTACTCTTAACTTTAATCCAAAACATTGTCCCCTTTCCACTATTTTCCCCCGATCCAAACATGCACACAGGTGCAATCTCTCCTCCCACGCATCTGCACTCTGACTCGGTCAGCGATTGGACTTTTGACGTCATTGCACATCAGCAGGTCTCTCTGAAGGTCCCTGTGGATCAGTCTGGCTCTAACTAATCTCTCATATCCAGTAAGACAACATTCTTCCCCAGGTCCTGTTCTTAGAAAAAAAAAAAAAAACGACTGTGAGTGGGAAGGCCTTACATTCCTCTTGTGGCTTTGCACTGCTCTGTCTTTCGCTTTCCTTCTCCCTCTCTCATTCCCCTCTCCCTCCCTCCGTTTCTTATGCCTTTCCTAGATATTTCCAGATGTGGGTTAGCCTGGCTCTTTTGCTGTTATACTCTACCTCTGGCTACAAATGATAACCAAGACCAGAGTTGTATAGTACCGCTGCTGGCCAGGTCCTTCACTGCTTCCCCTGCTCCTTAACATTTGACAGGCTTTATGACAGCCACTGTTGTTCTGGGACCTTTACCCTCCAGGATATTGAGCTTACACTGACATTGTGGCTTTAAACTGGGCTTGATTGATTTTTGGATAAGCTTATAAGGAAGCAGACAGTCCAAGGGTAAGAGAGACAGGGCTGGACGGATTCTAGTTCCACAAGCGGAAAGATTTCAAGTGGCTGCTGGAGATTTATTTGTCCGTTAAATGTAGTCGGCTAAAGTCAACTGAATTCAGGGTGTTAATGTAAAACGTTTTTGCGTCAAACAGTGTGAACATAAAGGCTCTTGTATTTCACTTTGTAATGTGTTAAACTGTTGCATATACTTGCTAGACTAGTGCTGGCACTTGCAACACTTCCAGCAGGGATTAATACCATCAGTGCAGACTTTCTCTGTCCTTTGTTGTGTCCACATGTTGTTTATTTTGTTGTCTGGCCTAGCACGGCTTTCAGGTGAATATTACATCACTGCCATCTGGAAATTATTTCCCCAAAGAAAGAATCTAAGTGATGTTCACTAGGAAAACAAGTTTAGACGTTTAGCAGCTCTGCCTGGCCTCCATCCAGATCTGATTACCTGGCCGGTTTCATCACTTTCTAAAAAATAGTAAAAGGTTGACAGAGGGAAACAGAGACACAGAGAGAGGGAGAAAGTTGGTGATTGAAGAAGGCTGGGGAGGGGAGCATTTCCAGTAATCATCATGAAGGCGGCGTTGTCCTTCCCTTCCTGTTTTCTCTCGTGTCTCAGACACAGTCCAGGTGACATGAACAGTGAACACGGTGGATCTGCTCTGTCGTTGCAGACACAGGGACATCACTCTGCTTCATCCAAGCCTCAAAGTCTCTTTAGGATGTCTGAGGGAGACGTTACAGTGCTGCCATTCGGGCCTGCATCTCTGGATCTGTCCAGGCAGGAGAACCGGACACTGACCAGACTGTACAGCCAGAACGGAGGATATCACCTGAGGATTTTACCAGATGGAACTGTGAGTGGAGGCAGGCAGGAAAATGACCCTTATGGTGAGGAAGGAATTGTTTTTTTTTCTTTCTGTTTGATGTGTGATTGATTTGTATAGTTAAAAATTAAAATAAAATAATGATAAACAAAAAATAAGAGATACATAAGATTATCTTGGGGAAACTGAACTTTTAGAAAGGAAGAATATGAGTGCATGAGTTAATAATTACTTGTGGACAAACTGTTCAGGTATGTAATAATGTAGTTCTGGTAAAGTTGCTCAGTAATTTGGATCTGCTATCATAAGTTCTTACCCTGTGTACACATTTAGACGACAGGGTATTATGTTCCCTGAAAAATACTGGGGAAATATTTATTTCAGAAGAGCAACGATGGTCACATTGTGTTTAAGTAAGTTTATCTTCCACTTTATCTTTGGAAAGGCAACAAAAAAAGCTATATTGAGCGGTGTCAAATGTTTGTGTTGCAGACGTGCTGAGGCTGAAGGCTGTGAGCGTAGGAGTGGTGGTCATCAAGGGTGAGATGACAGGAAGGTACCTGGCTATGAACAAAAATGGACGTCTCTATGGATCAGTGAGTTTTTACTTTTTGGAATTTGTCACAAAATGACTGCTGCCATGAAGTAAACCTAATCTTGAGTGGAAAGTTGGAATACCATAGCATGAACGTTGCTAGATGTAACATGATAAAATCCCATTTCTTTTTCTAACTCTTACCTAATAGTTTTAGGAGCTGTTCCATTAGCGTTACTTTCGTCACATCGCATAATACTTATTAACTTGTCAGTATAAGTTTAAACTCACTAATTCCTGCTGTTTTTAAGTAGCCTAGGTTATTTCCACTACTCCGAAACACTGGAAAATCACTGGAAAGGGTTTTTTTCATAATCAGTAAATGAGACATATAACAGATGAGTAACATAAGCCGTTAAGGATTTGTCATGTAGAATCATGTTTCTATAAATTGGCACTTTATGCAATGTTTTACTCTGTGCTGCGTTGTTGCTGTGTGCTGTGTGTGTATATCCACACAATGAATTTACAAGAAGAATTAGAACAAACCTTTCTTTGATCTTCTCCCCCCTTTTTCATTTTCTTGCCTCAGCAAGCACTGAGCGATGAGTGTTACTTCCTGGAGAAGTATGAAGAAAACCACTACAACACATATTGCTCTCAGAAGTACAACTGGTATGTTGGGCTGAAGAGGAATGGTCAACCCAAAGCAGGACCAGACACCCACCAGGGTCAGAAGGCCATCTTTTTTCTGCCAAGGCCTGCAGGCAACATGTAAAGCAAGACAGCACCAAGAACCATGGACACGCTCACTGAAGTCTTTAAATACACAGTAAAAGTGCAATTTTACACTGGGCAAAGTATCCTATTGAAAGGTCACTTAAAATTAGTACAAAAGCCCGGGGTAAACATGTAATACTATTCTGACAGTTAGTTCAAGCCCTATTTTCATGTTATTCCCCTGCTTCATGCAGGGAATATGCGATTGAGCAAAGCAGCTTATACTGTATATGATCATGAGTGCTGTCTCGGTACAAGCACATACACAGCTTATCACTGCAGACAGAAAATGTGTGCGGTATCAGTGCATGTCAGTCTTGATAAATGGGTGTTCACTTTGAACCCTGGTATGAAATTCCACTGCTGGAAGACAGCTTTTACACGGAAATAGTTTTATAATTGATCATGTCTGGCACAAAGGAAACCAACAAGGCAGTAAAAATAAGAAAGCAGACCGTCTGGTGTTGAATTCAAGCAAACAAAGTCTACAGCAAAGGGAATAATAGTGTATTTATATAATTATTTCAGTGCATTGCCCGACTGTACTTCAGTAGGGTGGATGTTTGCTGACTTCTGAATGACTGACAATCTTACAAGTAACTACTTTTAATCTGCTCAAGTCTGTTTGAAGCCTGTTTCTGTAACCATTTGTGTTCTATGTGGAAGGCCAACAGACAAATTCTGCCCCAAAAAAAGGTTTCAAAAAGTTTCAAGATCATTGGACAAAGTTAATCTGACAAAATCTAAATCAGGCTTTTGAAAACAGCACCCTTGTTTATGGTCAAGGTCAAGGTACATTTTTTAATATATATATATACAGTATATGTACATTTAAAACAAACACAGTTGACCAAAGTACTGAACAAGATTAAAATGCCAAAAAAAACCAAAAAATATATATATATATCAAATCATTTATAACAATAAACATAATAGGTATGACAGCATTAGCTGTGTCAACAGAACATTTGTATGTTTTTATAGTTAAATCGTATTATTGTAGGCTATTGTTATCATGTGCCCAGGTCAGCTGAAAGTCTTTAAGGCATATGTGAAAATGTTCTTTTAGTAATCAGTGAAGTTATTATTGAGTTGAAAAGGAAGAACCAGAGAAGGTTTCACATCTTGGTAACACCAAACATGCATTGAAAACATAAAAAAGGGTTTAGCTTCACAGCCACGCCAATCTTTCTCTACACCTATGACTACAACACATGTTACTGTAACTTTATATTACAATTGTGAATATTTATTTTTAAAGATTTATTGCTAATAAAATGTAACAACTGATCATTGTAATGAATGTCTTCAAAATAATAATTTATACGTACATAGTGATGGAGGAAAAAGGTAATGTGATAGACCTTTTCACAAAGTAATACATATTGTATTAGTGTTTTTTAAATGTATGAAATACTGTCTGAATTATTATCCATAAAAAAATATTGTATGTTTTGTTTGTTACTACTATGACTGTTACTATGATTAGTGTTCTTCCTAAAACAAATGTATATAAAAGTTTATATCTGTACATACATGATACATGAACATGTTATGTGTCAATACATCTGTTGCTAATCAGCTTGCTTGTATTCGTGTTTGTGGCATTGCTTATGAACATCTGTGTTTTTATTAATAAATTAAACTCTTACAGGTGTTTACCAGAGACACATTCCTCATGACACAAGCAGTAGAAATAACAATGTTTGGCCACAAGATGGCAGCATTGCTTTTGGTTAATTGGTGTTTTGCTCAAGCTGGCACTGAGGGCTTCAAAAATCTTTAGAGTTTTAATCGGATGTTTATTATCTTTCCACGTTAGGTTCTTGTCAAATGCCAGTAAAAATAAATCACGAATAAAATACGTAAATCTAAGAAACCACACAGTTGCTGCAAGCATGTGTTTCACCAGCTGCAGGGGCTGTACATGGGTTATGACAGTAAACGTAACAGCAAATCCTCCATCATTAAATAAAGAAAATGTCACGCAAATGAATTATATCTGAAAAATTAATTACCAAGACATTGTACATTATTTTAGGGAGAGTAAAAATCAGTATATTAAAAAAATTTTGCTTATTCCCAATTCTGATCCCACACCTTTTTTGATACATTACTTTTCCAAAAACACTTTTTTCTACAATAGCTTTTAATTAAAGCAAAACAAACTTAAACAAACTTTAAATTAACAAATACAGTGTTTAATTTAGTCTTAACCTGGGCAGCTGAACAAAATCTTTGCCTGAATAAAATACAGAGTAACATTAATAAAACTATGATTTGTTTCACAAAATATCTGCTTAAAGAAGCTGGACCAAGAATCGTCTTACACAGAACTTTTTTGAGTTTGTCCAACACTTCACAGCATTACATAGGAAACGATGATGTAAAAATGTCAGCCAAGTTAACGTATCTAATGTCCTTTAAGAATAACACATTTGCACCAGTTTCATTGAAGTTGCTGCTGTCTACTTCCTTTTACCCATAAAGTTGTGACAGATGATACCAGCACAATGCAGAGAAAGACCTCCAGTCATCCCGATCAGGCCCTTTCACCACATTTTTGGAAGCAATGGCATTATTCATCTAATCCACACTTAATGTGTAATGGCTGAAACAGAACGTGGCCTGAAACGCTTGTTTCAGAGGACAATGTGCCAGGAAAAAGATCCTGGAGGAAACACTGGAACGTGGTTTAAGATGTTTGGGAGGACTGGAGCTGATTCATGGCTCCAACAAGTTCCATATTATTGTGGGCTTTAAACAGAGTTGGCAGGGAACATTACAGTAGGGTTATTACTTTTCCAAGAGTGTGACAAATTACTATTTCAAATTGGGCAATAGTTCCAATTTTAGAAATTACTTTCTGACGACCCTTTGTAAATGTCAGATCAGAGCGGAATTATCCTACTTATAACTTTCCGTCCCCTGATTCGTTTACCCGATGATATTTCATTGACTCTGCTAAAAAAACTAAAATGTACATTCTCATTGTCAGCACTACATGACTACTTGACCTGCTATGGTGTCAGCTTAAGTATTACTGTACAATATGTCTATTTTATGTCAGTTAATACTTCCACTACATTTCTGGGGGAAATATTGTACTTTTTGCTCCACTACATTTATTTGACAGCCATAGTAAGATATTACATGCAAAAAAAACATGAGTTTATTAAACATGATGCATTATTATAGATTAAACTACCAACTTTTTGGATATTTTTCTGATAATTCCTCTTTACTGTACTTGATACTTCAGCAAAAAGTCTGAGTACTTAACGTATCCAATCCAGCCTTCTGTATAATCAGCTTTTAATACCATTTTGTAATATATTTTCTGCTTTTTCTCTCCTAAGTTATGAAAACCATCTAACTCATTGTAAGAAAAAGAAGTTTAAGAAGCAACCAAGTAATCAAATGAAAAAAAGGGAATCTGTCTTCCTTCCCAAACGCATTTGGTTTGAAAACAAAAAAACAGGTAGGTCTGTCTTACTTGAGGACACTGACCGGACACATGGCTGTTGGTGGACAAACATTGACTATTACGCAACCTGTGACCTCTCATTTACAGGACAGTCTCTCTCCTTCTTTCCACCAGGCCACCCTATGAAGCAGCACAGCACATACACACACACACACACAAACCTGGTTGGCCATTGGCCTGCAGGGCTGTGCAGGGCAGGAAGGGAATCATTCACTGTAAACTGAACAAGGACTAGCTTCCTCTGGGAGTCCCCTAGCCTGACAGCAGCCAAGATCTCTGCAACGCAAACCACTCAGCAAACACACACACACATACACACACACACACACACACACACACACACACACGCACACACATAGATCAACACATACACACCCTGGAACTGGGACACATTCTCTCATCTGTTACTCCTCTCCCTTTTCCTCAATTCCATCTTTCTTTACTCCCCCTTCCTGCCCATCTCTCAATTTCCAGCCTCCTTTAACCTCTGTCTCTGTCTTGTTGCTTTTTCCTCATCATTTTCTCCCTTCCTTGTTCCTCAGGTATTCTTTTTATATGTAAATATATACCTCCCAATATGTTTTCCTATTTTTCTAACCTATTTTCTTACTGTTTCTCTATTTCTTCTTTCTTTTCAATACTTTCATCAGCTAAGCTCCCTAATTTGAGGGGTTTAAACATCCATGGATCCTTGTTGGGGAACAAATAAGGCATTTAGATATACATAATGAGCAATTTCTATTGATCAAAAAAGTCACTGAACCCCTGTGGTTGCTCTACCCTGCCCCTCTGTGCTCCTCTTCTACTCTCATCCTGTTCTGGTGGCCTCATCATGAAAACAGAGATGCTTTGTCAACGTTACTGTATGCATGCTATTCCCTTCACCTTTCTCCTCCACACAAGCAACCACTCACACACACACACACACACCAACAGGAACGGAAACAGGGGATGCATATCCGTCAGCTGATCCAACTGGAAACGCTGACACTGGTCTCCCCATCTGCTACTGCTCTCTGAGACAAGAGGGGAGGAAAGCAGAGAGAGGGGGGAGAGAGGGAAAGAAAATAGGGGGACAGAGAAAGCGAGAGGGAGCATTTTGACAACCCAGAGAATTGCCCGGATGCTTGTGGTTGGCCCTACAGCAACTGTTTTCCTAATAGATGATTTGTGCTGGATAGACACATTCTGCAGGGGCTCCAAACATGCAGCTTTCCCTCAGAGTGGGAGCGAATGGCATTTGTCAACCAATAGACCCTTTAGGATTCAGCCACAGAATACAGCTAAAAAAGAGAAGAGGAGGTATTACTGTACAAAAAAAAAAAATAGAGATTTATGCATGCCTCTTTGATGCGCTACATTTGACCCTCTTCACATGGAGCTGATTTAGGTAGTCTCTTTGCTATTTCACAGTGGCGTATGACCAGCTTGCAAGTATGTAAGCTGAGAGTTTCTGCAGTGTTTTGGCGAAACAAAGAAAAACAAAACAATGAGCCAAAAGCGACTGAACGCTTGTTGAGTGCAGCTTTAAGTCTCCAATGTGCTTAGGGGTTGAGTTCATCAAAGCTGCCACATTAGATGTTTTATCCACTTACTGACAGGCAGCGGTGTGCTTGGAACTGAAGTAGTAGATATGCCAGTGGTGTGGTTATGGTAATTATTTTCAGCATTTTATTCTGAATGTTTTTTTTCTGAATGTTCTGATTAGAGTGTGCAGGCATGGGCTGCAGAAGGTGTATATAAAAGAGCCCACACAAGGAAAGGTTTAATTCAGATCAGCGCCAACAGCTACTAGCACTACTACTACTAAACAATTGGCTCTTTAAAGGAAAGGTTTGATAATAAAACAAACAAGATATAATGTGTTAATTAGTGAGCCTTAGAGATGCTGGTAGGTGGATTTTTTTTTCTGGCTGTTCCCCCTGCTTAGTCCTTATGCTAAGCTATGCTAACTGGCGATTGGCTACAATTTCATATTCAACATAAAGACATCAAAGTGGTATCAAACTTCTCTTCTCACTCTTGGCAATGAACTGCTAAGCCCATTTC